TTTTCAATGAATACCCTCTGGAACTGTTGAGAACGTTCCAGAAGATTATGATTTCGTAATTACTGATAAAAATTCCAAAAAATTCAACATTTTAAAAAAACTCGGCCAAAAAAAGTTTTCTGGGACCATGCGTCCTGATGGCAGGACGCATTTTTTGACAAAAAAAATGCACGTGGTCCCGCGCGGCGGACAAGCAAAAATAGGCTGGTCGTCAACGTGTTAAGAGTCTCTTTTCATTTTACCCCGTTCGTCTTAAAGCTGTCAGATGCGCGAAGCCAAGGTTCGCACAAATTACTAGAAGTACACGTTTACATTGGAAAATGAATGCTCTTTCCCATGATATATGAGTTTTTCCTAACTCTTATAGTTTAAACTGTCGAGGGGGGGGGGGGGGCTATCCATGTGCAACACCTGGTATGTGAGATATTGTAACTACGCATTGTATCGTGACGCATGCCGCAGGTATTAGCGCTGACGCATAGGTATGTGGGCACGGATAGAGATAGCGTAGGTCGAGTGTTTACTTATTCTTGCATGGCACGAAACTACCGATTTAGGCCATTGTGCCTAAATGTCTGCACCTAAGGGATTCATTGTGAGCATGAAGCGTGAGCGAGTCGGTACGGCGTTTCGCAAGCTTTTCAGATTTTCCTTTAAAGGCTCGGTCAATCCAGCTGCTCGCGATGAAATTTCGTAGCAGATGGCACGAGCCCGATTGTCGCAAATGGGGAAAGAGCGAATGAATACGGCACTGCGGGGTCCTCATTCCATCTTACGCATGGAATGAACAGTAATTTAACATTCCGGAGGAGTTGCGCTTTTCTTTTCGCTTTTTGGGAGGACCTTTCCCACGAGCGAGAGATAATTAATCGGATTTATCCGAAATATTACGACTCTGCTGTCAAACCTGTCGTCATTTCCTCGTGAGATTAAACGGATTCTAGTCGAGGTGGCAGGAGATTGAACGAGACATCGCTAATTGCCGTTGCTAATTGCCCTGTAATTCACGGTGCCCGGTTTCTTGGCTTCCATCTGTTTCCTTCTCGACATGAACTCGTCACACGGTCATGTCTGCTCAGATGAGGCTAGCGTTCACTGATTTCGAGACAGTCACGCTGCGTGAAACCTAAATCCGACCAGCCAGCATGAGCCAGCATCTGCTCGAGATCGAATCCTCGAGATAGTCGGAAATGTCGTGGGAAGGTCTCGGCGCGGGCCCTAACGTACGATCGCAGGGAAAGTCGATGATTTGGCATCGCGTAGGCCATGTACAGAACCATGGCCTTCGAGAAAGCAGACAAAAAATAGTGTGAAGCTCGTTCAGCATGCATTGGCAAGGCATGTCGCATGTCGCTGCCATCTTCGTGATGGCGCTTCTCATGAGGACTTTCAGAAGAATGCGATTCTCGTGGACATCCTGAGTGATGTCCTCCGTGCATACTTATACCTGGCCTCTTCTGCCGCTGGGGGATTCCATGATGTGAAACGGGGGATCTGGACCGGGCCGAGCCTGCTCAGTTCTCATTGCATCCTCTCTGGCGGTTCCGCTTACGGTCGCGTGGTCACTTTACATCTCTTCCTCTTTCCATATTGCATAATCCACTTGGTGATATGCTGCTCTGGCTTTAGCAAGGCGAGACTCTATATGATAAGAGGCTCTTGCTCGTCACGAAGTAGAAGTGAGAGTTTCATCGGGAACGTTTCCGAAATTATTCTCAAAAGTTGGTTATTTTGGGTTGAATGAAATAAAAGAAGAAACCACTGAATGAACATAAACCGTCTTTCGTTTGACTGAGTCGCGGAATATTTTTTTTACTTTTAATCTGTATTATCTTGTGCTTTTATGCCTACATTGGAATGCCTAGTGTTGCCCAGAACCATGGCCCAAATGGGAGTACTGAATACTGTTTGGAACATCGCTTATTACTCAAAGTTTTCCTTAATTACCCGCCCGAATGAATTCGATTGGTCATGGTACATTCGCAGGCTCTTAAATCCAAGCATTAAAGGGCTTCCACGGGTTAGCTTGGGACCCCTGTCCACTCTGTTGATGACCAAGCACCTCCTAATGTTCAAGCCCCCACCCTAATTTTATATATCGAGTACATTTGTTTCTGAAAAATCCATAAAATGTGGATGTTTTCCCTTTATTATCTGAGAAGTTCCATCTGGGACCAGTGAAACTCATAAATCAAGTAGAAATACATCAAGCGAAAAAGCAGAACCTAATTTAACCCTGTTTCATTCACGAACCCACTGATCTTTGTGACATGCTGACCGCCAATGCTATTTACCC